CCTGAGTTGTGTTTGTTCAAATAATTGTTCTGGGCAGGTTACAATATAAAAAATGTTTTTTTCATAATCATGTCTTGTGATTATTTGACAGGAGTTTTACTGTTAAACTGTAAGTGTATTTAATTTAGTTATGTTATGATAGTTTAGTTATGATGTAAATACAATAAAAATTAAACCAAGATATAGAATAATTATCATTTTGATCCATACATTAGTAATGTCTGACTGGGCCTCGTGACACTTTATGTTTAACAAATTGGGCCCCGAGGTCAAAAAGGTTAAGAACCCCTGATTTAATCTATAAACACGTTATTTACTGTAAATCCTCACAAGTTACTTTAAATTTATTTTTTAAATACCTAATTCATAAACAATTTAGTTTTTCCCCTTTTGGAAGTGCAAACATGAACAAAAGCAAGAAAAAATGGCCAAAATACATGGGTTTTTTTCTACAGCAGATTCAGTTTCTGAATAAAACATTGATTTACAACATGTCTTTTTCATGAAACAATATCAGACCCAGAGAATATAAAAAAAACTGTTGTTTTTTTTTACTCCTAACTGAAAATCACACGTTGGAATCTGTCTTTTGGGTGATAAGATCCTGTTTTGTCCAACAGTGATGCAGAGGGGGGTAGCTGTGAAAAGGAACAGCCTGTACACCGYCAACAAACACAAATATTTTGTTTACATGACACCAGATTTGTCCTGGAGCCAATAACATAAGAGCTTTTATTTTTTCAATGTGAAGCTCTTCTCTAATGTGTTTTTTAAAATGAGGAATGCAAAAACCATTACATTAGCATCAGTTTTATATTAGACAAGACATTATGTTCTGTTAGCTGCCCCCCGGGTGGCCGCTGTGAGCTCAGTGATGTTTTAGATATAAAACATTAATCGTTCTGCATGAAAATCCAAAATACGCTTTTATTTTGAAAAAAACTGTGCATATCAGTGACAGCAGTCCTCAAATTGAAAGCAGTCTCACTTATCTATGGAAGCCCATTTCCGCCACCCTGATAAAATAATAAAACTTGTATCTCATAATTATGACTTACTGTAGCTATCTATGAGATAGCTAAGTCATAATTATGAGATACAAGTTTTGTTTATTTTTTTATCAGGGTGGCGGAAATGGGCTTCCATACTTACCAGTGGTCTACTCAGAGCACAAGAAAAAGTATTAACACGGATACCTAAATATTTATTTAACAGAGTCAGTGACCAAGCGCCGAGCATAAAAAGAAAAAAATTAAMTTAAAAAAGCAGTTTTTAAGAATAACTAAATTGCATTTCCTGCAACAATGCAGTGTGAGTGCTTAATGCTAAAATATTGTTGCTGAAAGCTGCTTAGCAGATGTATCCTAGAATGAAGGTGTACAGAATAATTGTAAGATATTGTAGCTAAAACAGCTGAACTTAGCTGAGAAACAGCTAATAGCTGGCAAAACTGAAATCAGCACAAAGAAGCAGAAAGAGCAYGGTTACTGAATTAGGCAGGAAAATAGCTAAAGATAAAAAAAAGGCAGAAAACGTCATAAATTAGCAGAAAGCTGCTGAAACAAACATAAATATTAAATGTGAGCCATCATATCAAAATGAGGATTAAGTCTAATTTGGTCCAAATGACCTCATTATATCTTCAGATTCTTGGCTTTAAAAGCTACATTTTGATACCTGGATCATCCTGTCATCATAATTAAATCCAAATGTTTGACAATTTGTCTTGTTGGTTGCAATAATACATAAATATTTGCTCTGAATCTTAATTTTATGTCATTTTTTGATGTCCTTATAAAGAGGAAACCTCAAATTATATTTGAATATTGAGATTTTCCAGCTGAAAAGAAACAAAACTTTGCTAGCTCACAGGGAAAATCTCAAAATTTTAAGGTGTTTTTGCTCAAAATCAGGTTTTTTTGCTGCTACTGCTCAGAAAAGTGC